GGCAGAAGGCGAACAATCGTTTCGCGCTCGGTGTGAAAGTACCGTTCGTCAGCGATTCGCCTCGCTTTTTTGCATCGCGCTCAGTGTGGAAAGGCCTTAATACTGTTAAATAGTATTAATAGTAGTTCTTTTTCATTTGGGATGCACATATAATACCTAATGTTGAGTTGAAGGGCGAATTAAATGGTTTGGAAGAGATCCCCATGTTCAACATTATAGTTTTAATGCTGAAGCCTTGATTTCTCTCCAGGTACCCAATTACTATAAAATAATAAAGCATCCTATGGATTTGACCCTGGTAAAGCGGAAACTGCAGCGAAAACATCCTCTGCATTACAAGAGTCCTAAAGAGTTTGTGTCCGACGTGCGCCTGGTCTTTAGCAATTGTGCCAAATATAATGAGGTGAGTTCGGGGCATGTCCTTAACCTGTGTGGGGGTGCATGTAAGAAACGAGTATTTGGAGAGTATGAAAAACACTAAAGCAACACAGCATGAGAACATGTGATGGATTTGCATGAGTTCACTGCTTCTTATGGTCACCAGTACTAACTATTAAAAGAATGGTTTCAGTCAAGCTGAGCATTAATCAGCGGCTGGATGTTGAGCTTGTGTTTGTCACAGGGCTAACACACTTTGTGGTGTTTCACACCATTGAAGGGATGTTTATTTTAATGTTGCACAGTGTTTTGGTATGATACATTTGATTATTGTTCACTATTTTTATTTGAACAATAAAAATGATGATCAAATGCATGATATGAATGCCAGTTTTGCAGTCATTCACTGTTTCTGACATTCATTCAAGACCCCATGAAGCAAACTCCATGAGTTTATGTATTTCCTGTTAATAATGGAAGTTTGAGTGGGTCTTGATTTTTTTTTTTTTTTAAACGGCCAACATGCTTTAAATTGCAAGTTTTGCTAGTCGTAATGAGGAACATTCTCATTCGAAAGAATAAGTGAAATTTCTCAGCTTTTTGCACTAGCATAATATTGGTAACTTTAAAGCAAACATACCTGGACTAAAACGCTCATTTTGATTTCATGGGGTCTTTTTGGAGTCTGTATGTAAAGTGTACATGTTTAGTGACTGTGAAACTGTAAAATAAAACTAAATGGCTCTGATGCGTTCAAACTCGCATCCCATGTACACAAATTATTCAATTTCAGTTTTACATATCTTGGAAGCTATTTTTTTAGTATCATTGAGGTACTAGTTTTTATTAATATTTTTGAATCCATTTTTCTATTTTCCGTTTCATTTTAATTTAAAAGTTTTAGTAATTGTCATTTTTGGTAGTTTTTGTAACGAAAATGGATTTAGTTTCAGTTTGTCAACTAGCCTATAATAACCCTGCAAAGTTGCGTTTTTGACATAATTTTTACAATTTAGTTGATTATGAAAGTTTTGAGTGTTGTTGTGTGTTGAAGTTTGTTATTGACAGCAAATCTCAGTCATGCCATTAATTTGACATCTGCAACCGCTGCCATTTTAAATGCAGTGGCAATACATGAATCAAATATGCAATTATTACACACTGAATGTTAGAGATTTTTCGGCTTCTGTTTTACCTAAGAATGTGTACGTTTACTTCAGGTCATTTCAGTGGATGGATTTGTTCTGCACAGTATGCTTGAAATTCACAAATAGGGTGTTAGCTGTGGGGAAAAAAAGCTTTAACAGTAGAAACACTCATGTTATGAACTGTAGCACTGCTATTGTGGTGATTTATAGGGTTACTGAAATGTTTTTTCTGTGTGAAGATAACTGTAAAATGTGGTAGATATTTTACTGTCTTCACAAAACTTGATGATTGTGGCATTCATGTCAAAGAAGCACGTTATTATGAACTATTTCTGAATTTTCCCATCCAATTCATTTCGGTTGCATTTAGTTTGTTTGTTTGTCATCATTACTGGCACTGTTTGTTTTTTATTCATATTTTTAAGGCAAATCCCCTTCTAGTTTTTCTTCTTCATGAATATATAGAGGCCGTTTGCTTGTGCCTTCTAACTGAAAGGCATTTATTATGAGCAAACCGAAAATTGTGCTCCTTGGACATTTTTAAATACAGATGAGGCTGTGACCTCACTGTGTGGATGGTATAAAATCTTTCTTCCCCCCCTTTTTTTTCCTTTTTCTTTTTTTTGTGGTGTCGTTGCCCTTTTTAGATGTCTCGAATAATCCAGGTTTATGATGAGGAGAAACAGAGTAATGTTCAGGTAAGATGTTTCATACACCACACCGAAGGGTTCAGCAGTGCTGGCACCCAAAGCAGCTAAAATGAGAGTTTTAACCCTTTCTGTGCTTCTCTCCTCCTCCTCCTCACCCGTTCATCCCTGGGCCTGCATTCCACCTGCTCTCTCCTTGCCTTTCCTCATATTTCCACACTCTTTCCCCGACTCGGAAGTGGGCAAAGCCGTGAGTCTGCATTTCGAGGAGAAACTGCTGGAGATTTTTCCCGACCAGACCGACCAGACGTTCATGGAGAAGGAGATGCAAGCGGAGGCCGATAAGGATTCGGAGGACTCTGACGATGACGTCGTACAACCGAAACGCAAACGCTTAAAAGTGGACACCGAGAAGCTGTTGCACATCAAGTGAAGAAAATGAGGAAACGTCTGCAAGAAATAAACTGTCTTCCTCTCAAGCTCAGTCTTATTCTGCCTTCTGAAGGGCATTAGAATGCTGGAACTGATGCGATTCAAATGCTTAGTTTATTTCATATTCTCTCAAACCCTGACGAACCATTGTACATACAGCGTGAGAACTCTTACACATGCATTGTGGACGTTGGCGTCTTCATCGGAGGATCGATGAATGAATTGTTGGGTGTCGATGAAGACACTTGTACAGATTTAAATTAGTCTTGTTTTGGTCTGATTTAGTAAATATCATTTTTATTTTTTTTCTTTCTTAAACTATGAGTTATTATTATATTTGTAAATCTATTGTGAATGATACTTTATAAATGATACTCGTCGCTCCCTTCTGTTGTATGATAAAGTTTATCATATATGGCCCACCTGCTTCCTTTGCATGTGTATTTTCTTATTCCTACAGTTGAAATCCCTTCAGTAGGAGAAAGTTTGATCTTTATTTCCAATAAAACGGTGACTTCTGGATTGTTGGAAAGTTTAATCGCAGACCCTTTAACTCAAAAGATGCATATTAAATGGGTGTCTGTGCCATCTGACAAAAGCCAATACAAAAGTACTTTCAACAAGCATTGTTTATTTCATTCCAATTATATATAAACTACAGTACTGCCATTGTTACTTTTATACATATACTTTTCAACATCTAAGGCTATAATGGTTATAGCCTTAGATGTTGAGTAAATGTTGAAGTGAATTATTTTAAACTTTTAATTTGTATATTCCAATAATTTGAAATCCAACAAGTTCAAAAGGTAAACATTTAAAAACGCAGTATTATACAATTCTAAAACCCTCTTAAATAAAATATCTCTGAATTTTATTCTCCAAACTTTCCTGTAACTGTTGGGTTAAGAAGCGGGATACATTCAGACAAGTCAACCATATAACTAAATGTAGATTTTAAATACAATGTTTATTAACTGTGTTCCATGGCAGGGGTATTTTATGTGTCAAACTGAGGCAAGTTGTCACACGTGGGTTTTACATACGTTTATTATTTACAACATCTCACAATGATATTTGGTGCCTCGTAATTGGTTTAATCAGTGTATAATTTCTTAAAGGGGTCATATGATGCGATTTCAAATGTTCCTTTCTCTTTGCAGTGTTACAAGCTCTTTGTGCATAAAGAAGATCTGTAAAGTTGCAAAGACTAAAGTCTCAAATCCAAAGAGATATTCTTTATAAAAGTTAAGAGTCAGCCACACCTACCTAAAACGGCTCGTTCTAACACGCCCCCACATATCTACATCACTATGTGGGAAGATTTGCATAACGCCGCCCAAATGTTCACGCAAAGAAAGAAGGCGTAACTTTTATTATGTGAATGCGCTGTGTGATTCGTTGTGAAAGCGAAACTACTTTGTTTGGTCTTCCAAAAGAGGACGATATCTGCTTTGTCATGCCTGGAGCTGATCCATGCTGGTTGCTGAGGAAATACTGCATATAATACTAATACAGCCCGCCGCCTCTGCTCACTCAGCCCGCCGCCTCTTCTCACTCAGCCCGCCGCCTCTTCTCACTCAGCCCGCCGCCTC